CCCTAATACATGTATGGTAATACAGTATCCTAAGAACTTGATCTGTAAAAAGCGCCTTTTCTCTTCTATTCTTAGTCATCACAAATACATGTATGTTGAATTTAGGGAATTTGATTAATTGCAAAGACTGATACCAAAAAGTAGCAGTATCATCTTAAATGTCCTTTACTCTTGTATTTTACTTCCAGCATTTGCTGTATCATCTGGAAGCAGCTCCCTATCCAGTAGTGATAGATCATCCAAGTCTTCAATGTCTGAGCGATCACCACGCAGCAAGAAAACCACCACTCCACCGTCATCTTTCCTGACTGACAGGTCCTCATCCCGTGAAAGAGCAGACAGATTTGAAAGAACTACTTCCAGGGAGAGACCTAGACAACTTTCTGGAAAACCAAGATCATCAAAGTATTCTCTTAGTAAGGGAGGGAAGGACTGAAACTATTTGAAGTTGCCTTAACATCAAATTTAGATGTATAGTTTTTTGTACTTTTATATTACTCACATACTCTACATTTCAGTCTCGGTATAAATTTTTATTTGCAAGAAAAAGCCAAATATTGTTCGAATTTTTCAAATATTTAATGAGATATTTTCCATTCAGATAATATTTACTCTTATCTGATATTCACCAATCTTATGTTGCGCATAATTAATTTTTCTGAAATATTCTTGCCTACATGATCATTTCTTGATAAAATATCTGGAAAATAATGAAAATTAAAAGAAAAATAACATATTTTAATAATAGTGTGTTTATACTTATCGTATGTATATTTGTGCATCTAACCTGTCACATTTACTCTTACAATAGAACAAACATTGACATCTTTTCATGTATCATTTGTTGTTTATTGATATGTACATAATTGTATAGATGTATACATTATAAAAAATTGACTGCCATAGTTTTCTTTATATTCTGATTGTGACTGATTAAAATCTGCAAGACTAATCTGTGTTTCATGTTTATTTTTGCATAAAGGCTGTCTTAAAGTTTTTAAATTTCTTGGCACACAGTAATTATAAGTACAGGTACTCTCTGAACATGGAAAACGCGTGTCAAAGCACATCTGGAGACAGACGCTCACTGTATTGCACTCTAACCGTCCTGAAAAAGACGTTTTGAAATGAACACAGACCTACATTAACTAGATGAATATGTGCAAGCAGTCACAGATAACTAAATGCTTACAATGCACGTTGATCATGGTCGGTTTCAGACAGTCGTATCAGTTACATATGGAATGATACTTCCTACATGAGTATGAGTGACTTATCACTTGCAAATACCCTCACTCTACTCTATGAAAATGTATACGGCTATGCAGGGGGGTAGACAAATGCCATTTATCTGATTTGTAAACACATGACAGTCCATGCAATTACTGAATTATACCATAAGAAACCAGACAAAATGTGAAATTCAGGCTCTCGCTACCCCACTACCAGACTGCACTTGATTTGCATAAAGACATGCATTTATTGAAGGCTTGCCCATGAATAGTTCAATACCATTGAAGTAATAATTTGTTTTTTTGTGATGAATCAACCTATTCCCTAATAGCCTAGAAGTTAGACATCCTCTGTAAATTTCTTCAATAATTCTTCAATAACTCCTGATCACTGTGTAGACAACTGACCCACAAGACCACAATGGATTGACTGGATGTGTTTGCATTTGATAAGACTATAGTTGTGTATATACCGGTATATAGAAATACAACATATTTCTATTGAGTTACAATTGTCCAAAAAATTGCCAATTTTGTGTTTTTACTTGTGTCAAACTATATGCATGCCATAACCCGTTAGTGTACATCTTGCCAATTGGGTGTTTGCCATTTGCGTTGCCCATACCTGACCCGACCCTATCCTTAATGCCGAGACACATTCCTGTTAATAATTCCGTTGCCCATACCTGACCCGACCCTAACCCTAATGCCAAGACACGTTCCTGTTTATAATTGCTCAATAATGATACTCTGTTGTGCACTGTCTGCGGGTAAGTTGCATTGATGTCAACTGATTAAACAAGTCACGTTTAAGTAATTTCCACTATTAACAAGTGG